GGCGCAATATCCTCCTGTACCAGTCAGATCTGATTTGACGGTACACGCACACAAAATAATTTAAAAAAAAAATTAAACAAAAAATAAAGAGAATTTACAATATTTGATCCTATGAAACTGTCCATATTCTTGATCTTGATAGTATTAAAGATATAATAACAGCTGCCATTTTTTTCTTAATTTACTATGGGATGCTACTCTCATCATAATTAATAAGGTGTAAGAAAGATCAATTTGCAGCTGATTATGTAAGAGGTAGAATGTCTTATAACAGGTGTACTGACATGATGACTGCTGCAGTGGGCTTTTGTGTGTCAGGAAGTGTGAGGATGGTGCAGGACAGGACTAGGTTCAGATCTTTTGTTCAAAGGGTCGCTGTGAGTCAAACTAGACTTGATGGCACCTAATAACAACAACAGAATGTATTGAGCCTGACTACTCAACTTAAAATATTCTATATGAACATATTGCCTCTTGGACATATATACACAGACATAGACGTAGTCCTTAGAAAACAGCCCTTCTTTAATCTGATGCCTTCTTTGCAGTGGACAGTGCGGTTGAGTTTGCACACGTAGGAGTCTTCCATCACCAAGGTCAATGCTGTGTAGCTGCCTCCAGGCTTTTTGTGGAAGAATCCATTTATGATGAGTTTGTTCGAAGGAGTGTTGAGCGGACTAAGAAGTATGTTCTTGGCAATCCTCTGACCCCAGGAGTCAACCAAGGTCCTCAGGTGAGTGTAAAGCAGGAGAATAGCATCATTGGGAGATAAGACTAAGTGTCTTCTCATTCTCTTCTTTTTTCTTTCTTCTTTGGCCTAGGTTTCTTCCCCAGCCCATCCCCCAATAGATAGGATTACTTTCTATTTATTGGTAAAAACACTTTAACAGTATAATAATTTAAGACAAAGGATCTAACTCCTGACAATGAGATATCTAGTTGGTGTTGTTAGGTTTTTGTCTATTGTTGTTGTTGTTATATGTTGTCGAGTCACTTGCGACTCATAGCGACCCTATGTGCAAGAGCCGTAAACCCTGCTCTATCCTCTGCCAACCTCACCGTCTCTGACACACTTACTCCCATCACCGCAGTCACAGAATCGATCCATCTCATCAAGAGTCTTCCTCTCTTGCACTGTCCCTCCACTCTGCCAAACATGATGTCCCCTCTCCAAGGACCAGTCTCTCCTTGCAACATGCCCAAAGTATGTCAGATGAAGCTTCAGAATCTTTGCCTCCAAGGAGCATTACAGTCTCACCCTCTCCAGGACAAACCTGTTTGTTCTCTTAACAGTCCATCGTATATTCAACCCTCTTCTCCAGCACCACAGCTCAAAGGCATCAATTCTTTTTCTATCAAACCTATTCACCATCCAACTCTCTGATGCATAGTACATAACTGAGAAGACTATAGCTCAGATCAGGTGTACCTTAGTCTCCAGCCTGATGTCAAGGCTCTTCAGTATTCTGACTTTCCCAATACAATTCATCTCTTTATTTTCTGGTACCAAGAGTGTTGTTTGCTAGGTTTTTATGTCTAGAGTTTAAAGTATGGTAGAAATTAAAGATGTGGGGGTGGGGGGAAGGGAAAGTTCTAAAAAGATCTTATTTTCTTCTCTCTACCACTCTTAATTACTCTATACAGTTGTCTGTCCATGTACGTTGGTGGCTGAGGCACATAGGTGGTTTAGTGTTAGAATGTTTGCCTTCAGTGATGGTTGCCTAGTTTGAGTCCAACCAGTGCAACATATGAACAGCCACTGTCCAACTTACAGTAGAGCCTTATGTGTTGCTCTGATGATAAGCAAGATTGACTGGAGTTCTCAGGATAAGATTGAACAGAAAGACCTAGTGATCAACTTCTGAAAATAGTCAGTGAAGACCCAATGAATCACTAACAATGATCTGAGCCTAGTGCATAATTCTGTTTTGCATGGAGAACAACTCAATGGCAATAAACAACAGTCCACTTGGAAATTCTTGTTCAATCACATTATTTGTTCCCCAGAATCAGCTATATGTCTTAGTTGTCATTCCACAGGTATACATAGCTAGCATTTTGTCCTACATATCACTCTTGGACAAGAGTATCCTCAAAAGAAAGCAAGCTTATCAAGAAGATGGATTGACGTAGTGCTGCAATGGGCTGAGCATGGTAGAGATTGTGAAGCTGGCTCAGGATAGCTCAAAGTTTTGATCTCTTATTCATAGGGTCCCTCTGAGTCATAACTGCCTCCACAGCACCTAACAAGATCTCTGTTTCAACCTAATATGGATGTTCCCTTTTTCTTCTCCTACTCCTTTTAATTGAATTCAGGCTTCAGTCTCCAGACAAAGTTGTTGAATTACGAGCAGGTATTTATTCTAGAGTAAGTAATGGGTAGTGATTAAGAGGTGTTTGCCCTATTTGACTTTTTTATAACTGCAAAACAAATACTCAGTAAGAACATCATTAATGTTTCTTTCCTGAAAAGTCATGCGAGGATTTACTAAAATAACAAATTACAACCTTTGCCAACTGATTTTGTCCAATGTTTGACATAATAATATTTACATGCCAGACAATTGTTATCAACATAAGTTGCTAATACCCTACTCCTCTATTTTTGCTTTGGTTTTGTAACAGATTGACAAGGAACAACATGATAAAATAATCAATCTCATTGAAAGTGGGAAGAAAGAAGGGGCTAAGCTGGAATGTGGAGGAGGCCCCTGGGGGAATAAAGGCTACTTTATCCAGCCCACAGTTTTCTCCAATGTGACCGATGAGATGCGCATTGCCAAGGAGGAAGTAAGTCCTTCCATTCTGTTCTGTTCCTGTGTGTGTACCCAAAGTTCCCACTTAAAAGTCTCAGTGCCTTAATTATTTTTCCATTAAATGTCATTCATTATTTTTATTATTGATAAAAGTTTAACTTATTTGAGATCAAGACTAAAACAGTAAAAATTGACTTGTATTTTCAACCAAATATAGACTAAGATACATAACAATTTCTAGGTACTTCTTTTACTGTGTTAAAGTAATGGAAAGAATTTCATCAGCATGATGCTTTAACTTTTGGGGTAGATAGTATTTTTGAAAAATAATTTGAAAAGGAAAGGTGATAAAGTGATAAAGAATTTGTTTTGCTTTTTAATTATGTGATAGCTATACATTTCCTAACATAAATTCCATTTAGGAAAGTCTGATTGGATCTGCTGCTGTGTATATCTTGGTAAGAACTAGGAAAAATTAAGAGGGAAAGGTAGCATGGGAAGGATGAGGCACCAGGTGGTTCCTGGGGCCTTCTGGCTGAAGTTCGCAGCTGGTGAGTGTGGGACAGAAAAATATACAAATCCTTTCATCCTACTTGGATCCGCAATCAGTACCACTGGTACCAGCAGTCAAGATACAAAAGACGAGTTGCACTGGGGAAGTCTGTTGCAAAGAATTTCTCCAAAATACAAAGGTGCAATGATGTAAGTTTAGAAACTAAGGTGCGCATGATTCAGACTTTGGTCCTTGGTCTTTTCAATTACTTTTATATGAGGACCTGAACAGTGAAAAAGGGATGACAACAGAAGAATCAATTCCCTTTGAACTGTGATGTTGGAGAAGAGTACTGAACATCGCATGGACTACAAAAAATAAACAGATATGTCTTAGAAGAAGTTTAGCCAGAGTGCTCTTTGGAGGCTAGGATGGTGAAGCTTTGTCTCATGTACTTCGGGAATGTTAATGAGTCTATGGACATCATGCTTGGAAATGTAGAGGACTAGCAAAGGAGAGGAAAACCCTTGAGTTACTGCTACGTTGGGTTCAAGTGTGTCAGCAATGATGAAAATGGAACAGGATAGGACAGGGTTCACATCTGTTGTTCATAGAGTCACTATGAGTCATGCTGGATTCAAGGCTCCTAACAACAGCAACAACAACAATAAAGGAAAAATCTTCAGTGATGCAAATATTTTTGTACACACACACACACACACACACACACACACACACAGAGAGACACACACACACATTGACCTTTTAACAGCATGGGCTTGAATTTAACAGGCCCGTTTACAAGATAAATTTTTGAGCTCCAGAATTGCTAATCACCTTCTTGGGAGCAGTTCTTTCCCCATGCAGAGATAAGCTGCCATGCAGAGTGTATTAGTGTCAGGAGAGTTTTAACTGAATACCCCTTATGTACAGTTCAGACCCATACTTTTCATGGACCAACCGTACATGGGGAACAGCTTATTTAACACTTCGGAGTAGCCTAGTGGCATGTGATGCATTTAGTTCAAATTAGTTGAACTCTTAAGGCACTGATTGCAGTAGCTGCTATACGTCTGCTCCTCTGGTTGCGATACAAATTTTACATTCACAGCTTTAGGACATGAATTCAGCCTCTGGTGAACAGCAGCTCCCACTTGTGACTCTCGTCGGTCATCGGTGGTGAACGCCGGGAAACCCTTTCTTTCTTGTGATTTTTGCCTCCCCTGATTGACATTCCCAGAAAATCTTTGTCAGTAACAATTAGACATATATTTGTTTAAAATTTCAATAATTATTTTGTCAAACTATAATAGACAAGTTTACTATGCAAAGGAAAACCCAGCTGAGGTACAGATCAGAGTGCAGCTGCTCTAATTCAGTTTAGTGAAAGTAAATGCCTGGTTTAGCTGGGACCTTAGAAGGTGATTTTGTTTTGTCCTCTATTTGTGGGTTTCTCCAATGATCTCATGCTTTGGTTAGTACAGGATAGATGGGTTTGTGAGGCCTTGGAATAGTGAGACATTTCTTTTGATGTGTAAGTGTTCCATAAGATTTGACTACATAATAGCATCTTACTAATAACTTATATTCTTCTACTAACTTGATTTCTTTCAACACTAGTTTCTCTGTGTTAGGAAACTCTAATTATGAAAATATCCAATTCCAATAAAATACACGATCATCATAGGTACAGTGACATTTAAAATATAGATTTTAGTCCTTGCTTACATAAATTACTTATCCATTAGAAAAAAAAATGCCTTCTTTGGCTTGCTGTTTTTGTATATTAAGTTAGTAGGTAAGAAAAAGAGTTGAGGGAACAATTAATAAAATAATCTGTTCTTAAATGGATGAGAAATTCTGAAATTAATAATAGAAAGTATTGTCATAATTTCTAGGAAGTCTTAATTCTCATACTTAAAAATTAATATTGATATGTTTATTTACACTTTACCCTCTCTTCTAATTGTATTTAACATATGAATGTCACCTGTCTTTACTTAATGACCTGACAATTACCTATTTAGGTTGTTACACGACAAAAATAAATAGGAAAAGGTTAGGATAATTTATTGGACTTTTTGTCCACAGTGTAGTTTAAAATTGTCATAACCTTTAATTTGACCCATTTAACTCATTCCCTGTGGTGTAGATATTTGGACCAGTCCAGCAAATCATGAAGTTTAAATCTTTAGATGAAGTCATCAAGAGAGCCAACAACACTTTCTATGGCTTAGCGGCAGGAGTCTTCACCAAGGACCTTGATAAAGCTGTGACAGTGTCTGCTGCCCTGCAGGCTGGGACAGTGTGGTAAGTCAGCCCAAAGCCTTATGCCTGACTTCTCACAGGTAACCACAGGAACGGATAACCTGGAGCCTTTTCTCACTTAGATTTTTCCATTTGGAATCAAACTGGGACTTGCCAGGAAAACAAATGGTGTTGTGAAAAGCAAATTAAATAAAGACCCCTTTTGTCTGGCTTTCTATTGTCTCTTATAAAAAATATTTTATTGATGGAATTTTCCTAACCAAAGGAAATTTCAGTGTGTTTGACTATAAAGTTTAAATAAGGTGTTGAGCCAAAGGGAGGGCCTCTTAGGTGATTTGAACCCACCAGCAGCTTTGTGGGAGAAAGAGGAGCAATCTCCTCCTGTGTTATTTACAGCCAGTCTCCCCAACACTCACTGGAGTATCAGCTATGAGTGGGTCCCAATTCAGTGGTAATCAGAGAAGGATGAGACCTGCATCTCGGGGATATAAGGCACCAGCGGTGGCTCTCCACACTTAGAGATACATGTGTCTATGTGTGTCTGTTGTTGTGTACTGTCAAGTCAGAACCAACCCATAACTGACCCTCCAATGAGTTTTCAGAGGCCATAAGTTACATGGGAGATTGCCCATCCTTCTCACATAAAGCCCTTGTATGATTCTTGATTCGCACTGTGTCGTGTGTCTTTGGGATTGCCTCTCAGTTTCTTAACACTAAACCACCAAAGCTCCCTTAGTAGAATAATGTTTTCTTACTGCATTGAACATTGTATATTGAAACTAACTGGCACTCTTAAGAATCTCTGAATTTCAAGCATTTCAAAATTAGTAATTATTTCATAGCTAAGTATTTGCAATAATGGACTTTTTTTTCTTTTCAGGGTGAATTGCTACTTGGCAGGGTCTGCCCATTGTCCATTTGGGGGATTCAAGATGTCTGGAAATGGACGAGAACTGTAAGCATGGCCTTCTATTATGATAAACATTTAATTGTAAAAGTGCTTTCCTAATGAATTAACCCACGGTTGCCTCCTTGTGTAAAATTTGTCTGTTCTCACTTTTAAGGGATCGGACAACCAAATAGTTTACAGATGCTAATTATTTCTCATAGATTTGGAACGCTGAGAGCAAGAGGGAAATCTAATTTATTGATTCCTAATATCCATAAGTGGCTCCACTAGGTATTTTGCAAAAGTGATTAAAATGTGTCTTTTAGAACTGAGTGTATATGAAAGTAAATCTATTTGGAAAGTATTTCCAGGAAAGAAATGTTAGCAAGAAATGATAATTATTAGAAGTGTATTCTAGGTCTTTGAAGGTAATTTTTAAGTAACTTAATTAGATGTTGTTGTTGTTGTTGTTGTTATGTGCTGTCGAGTTGCCTGCGACTCATAGCGACCTTATGTACAACAGCCCTAAACTCCGCTCTGTCCTGTGCCGATCACACTGTCTCTGACACTCCCATCCCAATTATCCCAGTCACTAAATCAATCCACCTCATCAATCCTCTCCTGCACTGTTCCTCCACCCTCCCAAGCATGATGTCCTTCTCCAAGGACCGGTCTCTCCTCACAACATGTATGTTAGACGGAGCCTCAGAATCCTTGCCTCC